GAAGGCTCAAATTGTCGGTTCGTGTTCCCCCTCTTGAGCCCCTCTTGGGGCCCTCTTGAGGCGATCTTGGGCGCATCTAGGGCCGCCTTGGGGCACTCTTTGGGCCATCTTGGGGGCTCTCTCTATTGCGCCGTCGTGGCGCCCTCTTTGGGTGCCTCTTGGGCCGTCTTGAGCTGGTTTCTGGGGCCTCATGGGCTGTCTCGAACCGTTGGAAGCACGAAACAGCGAGAACACGAACAACCTTCAAAAACCATTGAGGAAACCTACTTGCTTCGCCTCCTGAGTGCCTCGTGGGAGCCCTTTTGAGGGCATCTTTGCCATCTTGAAGTCCTCTTGGGCTGTCTTCAAAGCCATGTTGGACCAATTTTGGAATGCTCTTGTGCGGTCTTGGGCTCTCTCGGACCGGTCTTGGGCCATCAAGGCGCACGTCTCTCGGCCCCTTTTGACGTTTTTTGGCGCCCCCCGCCGGGCCCGAAACGGTCAGACGAAAAATCAGTGCACTTCGGAGGGCCCGGGACCCCCTACCCATTATATATAAATATGTGTATATACACATATATATGTATAGACACACATTTATACATCCCTACAGACCTACATACATACATACATACATACATACATAGATACATACATACATACATACATACATACATACATACATACATACATACATAACCGCAGGAAGCAATTAAGGAACCCCCCGGGGTTATCGTTAGCACCGCGCCGTAATTAAATAATTATTTGGGGTGGTTTTAGCCGAGCGTTATCTTTAGCACCGCGCAAAACAAAAATAAATTAAATAATTCCAGCGCCATGGCCCTAAGGATTCCTAAGGATTCCTAAGGATGCCTAAGGAAGGTCTGAGGATTCCTAAGGAAGGTCGGTGTACACCGAAAAGCAGCAGCACCCCTCTCAGACAATCCTGGAAGAGCCCAGGGGGGACCTCTGAAGGAGCCCAGGGAGGGGGGCAAGGATTTCCTGGGATGCCAAGGAAAGAAGGTTGAAGGAGATGCTGAGGAGCCCAAGGCCATTCCATGGAGTCACTGATGCTAAACACTTCCACGGAGTCCTGGTCCCCCCTGGGCTCTAGTAGTAGTAATAGTAATAGTAATAGTAATAGTAATAATAATAGTAATAATGCTAATAATAGTAATAGTAATAGTAATAGTAATAGTAATAGTAATAGTGATAGTATTGGTAATAGTACTAGTAATAGTAATAGTAATATAATAGCAATACTAATACTGATAGTAATAGTAATAGTAATAGTAATAGTAATAGTAATAGTAATAGTACTAGTAATAGTAATTGTAAGAGTAATAGTAATAGTAATAGTAATAGATATAGTAATAGTAATGGATATAGTAATAGCAGTAGTAATAGTAATAGAAATATTAATAGTAATAGTAATAGTAATAGTAATAGTAATAGTAATAGTAATAGTAATAGTAATAGTAATAGTAATAGTAATAGTAATAGTAATAGTAATAGTAATAGTAATAGTAATAGTAATAGTAATAGTAATAGTAATAGTAATAGTAATAGTAATAGTAACTAGTAATAGTACTAGAAATAGAAATAGAAATAGTAATAGTAATAGTAATAGTAATAGTAATAGTAATAGTAATAGTGATAGTAATAGTAATAGAGATAGTAATAGTAATAGTAATAGTTATAGTAGCAGTAATAGTAATAGTAATAGTAATAATAATAGTAACAGTAATAGTAATAGTAATAGTAGTAAGAATGGTAATAGTAATAGTAATAGTATTAGTAATAGTAATAGTAATAGTAATATATATAGATATAGTAATAGTAATAGTAATAGTAGTAGTAATAGAAATGGTAATAGTAATAGTAATAGATATATTAATAGTAATAGCTCGTACCCAGCGACTGCAGGTTCACACGCTCTCCTTACCGTCCACTACAAGTCTCCTTTTTCTGATTCTCCTCATCGTCCCTCTCCTAACAAATTCTTATTGATATCCGTATTGAAACATTAATTATTTTCGGCCATCCTGTGGGGTGGTCCATCCCAGGATAACGCGCCACCCCGCACCGCGGCGTTATCTTAGCACCGGTCACGCACGGAAAATAATTCCCCGCCCCCCGACCCCCTGTCAAGAGTGAGGGCAAGAGTACTAGGGAGGAGAATAATCATATACAAATTATAACCAAGCGGGAGGAACAGGCAAGACAGAAGTACGACTGAACACGCGTCAATATGAATACGAATCTACAGAGTAATTCAATAACTGATCTCACACGACCGCCCAAGGAATCGAGAAGCTCAGGGGCCCCACTGCTGCCTTTCGGGAACCTCGAAAGCTGCGGACGCGAGAAGCCTGAGAATCCGTCTGCTACGAACGCAGACGAGTCTGCGTGCCGACGCAAGCAAACCGCCTGAAACACTCTCGCAATCTGGCTTCCGTGTGGTTCGGAAACAAACGCTTCGCCTGAGACATCCTCAAGAACTGCTCTGACACATCCTATGGGAAATCTTGTGGGTGAGTTCTATGGGGGGGTCCTATGAGGGAGTTCTATGGAGGAGTCCTATGGGGGAATCCCACGGGGGAGTCCTATGGGGGGGGGGTCCGATGGGGAAGGCCTATGGGGAAGTCCTAGGGGAGAGGTCCTATGGGGGAGTCCTGGGGGGGAGTCTTCTGAGTGAGTCCTATGGGGGCGTCCTACGGGGGGGGCCCCCCGCGGCGATGAAGCACACGCGTCGCTTGAGACATCCTCGCAATGTGGGCCCGCACTTCCCTCCCTCCCTCCCTCTCTCCGATCTTCTCAAAGACTGCGAGGTGCCAGGATAACGCCTCCAGGGTGCTGGATGCGTTATACTTTCGCCGGAGAGGGGGGGGGGGGGGGGGGTTCTTAATTGCTTCCTGCGGTTACATACATACATACACACATATATACATACATGTTGGAGGGCTCTTGGGCTGTGTATTGGCCGTGTTGGGCCCATCTGGGGCAACGCTCGGGCCATCAGGGCCGCCTTGGGGCCTCCCGCTCCCGCTGTGGGGCCCCACATGGGCCTGTCCTGGGGCTCTCTTGGGCCGTCTGAGGCTCGTCCCAGGCAATTTTCGGCCGTCTGGGGCTCGTCCCAGGCTCCCTTGGGCAGTCTTGGGGCTCTGTTGGAGGTCTTTTCGGCGGTTTGGGGGCGGTCTTGGGGGCGTCGTCGGCTGTCGTGGAGCGCCGGGAGGTCGAAAACGCGAGACACCGAAAAACAGTTCAAAAACCAATGGAAATCGAGGATTTGAGCCTCTTCGGGCTCTCTCGGGATGCTTCTCGGAGCTCTCTTGAGGCCTCTTGGAGGCCTCTTGGGCTGTGTATTTGCGGTCTCGAACCCATCCTGGACCACGTTAAGGCTATCTGGGCTGTCTTGGAAGGGCTTGTCGAAGTCCCCGAGGGCTTCTGGGAGCTCTCTGGGACAGTCTGGGAGCTCCAGGGCCGCTCCGGGGTGCTCTGGGAGCGGTCTCGGAAACCCTGGTCCTCCCATGCCCTGTCGTGGTCGCGGCCCCGGTCGCCCGGGCCTCGTGCACGGGGATATCTACATCTCTCTCTCTCTCTCTCTCTCTCTCTCTCTCTCTCTCTCTATATATATATATACTTATACATATACGTCTGCATATACAGATACATATCCATATGCATCTACATCTACATATGCATCTACATATACATATACATGCAAACACAGATATACATATACAGTTACATCTACACCTACATATACATATACAGATACGTATATCAATACATATACAAGTCCATGTACACATACATATACAAATCCAGATACATTTACGTATACGCATACGTATAAGTACACATCTACATACACATAAACATATACACATACGTCGACCTAAACCTATACATACACATAGCCATATACATGTACATATGCATACACATGTACATGCATCTATAGTTAAACATAACATTGCACATGTACAAATGCATATGTACATATATACACATACACACATATATATATATGTATGTGTAAATGTATACGTGAATTACATGTACATGTACATGTACATCTACAAACACGTTTACAATACATCTGCATCCACATATACATATTTGTGAAACATGTACGTTTTACGAAGGGAATGGGTCAATTTTTGCGTCTAGGGGCCCTCTTGGGACGCATGTTGGAGGCTTCTTGGGGCGTCTTGGGGGCGTCCTTGGACGTCTGGGGTCTCCTGGGGCCTCTTGAGGGGCCTCCTGGGGGCCTCCTGGCGGCCTCTTGGGGCGGAAGGCTCGAGCTTGCGGTTCGTGGTCCCCCTCTGGGCCCCCTCTTGGGCCCGTCTTGGGGCCCTCTTGGGCCATCTTGGGCGCCTCTTGGGCCGTCTTGGGGCCCTCTTGGGCTGTCCTGGGGCCCTCTTGGAAGCTTCTTGGGCCGTCTTGGGGCGGTCTTGGGCGCCTCTTGGGCCGTCCTGTAACGTCGGAAAGCCCAAAAGACAACTTTGTTGAAAATGCACGTTTTACGAAGGGAATGGGCCAATTTTTGCGTTAGGGGCCCTCTTGGGACGCATGTTGGAGGCTTCTTGGGGCCTCTTGGGGGCGTCCTTGGACGTCTGGAGGCCATCTTCAGCATCTCGGAGCCCTCTTGGAGGCCTCTTGGAAGTTTCTTGGGCCGTCTTGGGCGCTTCTGGGGCCGTCTTGTCTGACCGGGGAGGCCTCCGGCAAGCCCCGACGAGCCTCCGGGCCCCCCGGAGCCCACATTTGTGGTCGGGGTCCCGGCCCCGGGCCCCTGGACCCGGTGCGCCGTTATATGTATATGCTGGTACATCCGGAAGGGTGTGTGAGGACAGGCATACGCACCACCGCAGCAAGATAAGCTCACAAGCGCAGCCCCTACAAGTCCAGCTGACGGATTCGAACGGAGGTAGGGGAGGGAGATGGACGACAACGACAACGACGACGACGACGACGACGCGCGAGGAGACGCAGATGAGAAAGACGCATCTGCGCGCTCAGTGCGCGCCACCATTCCACATGTCGAGAAAACCAGATTCAGCGAGTATCTTCGACGAGTCGAACCTGGCCTTGTAGAGGGCGTAGCTGCGGCGCTGGCACGCACGCACATCCTTGCGCAGCCCGCTGACTACCGCCTCCGCCTCCGACATGTTCCCGAAGAAGTGCACGATGCCGCCCCAGCCGTCGGCGTCCAGAGGGTGCACGGCGGCAGATATCACACACGCCTTGTTCGGCAGCAGCTGGGCTAGCCGGAACGTTTCCAGAACGTTGTCGGAAGGGCAGCACATCTGGTTCTTGTGCAGAATCAGCTGCATGGGATACTCGCTGACAAATCGTCCCAAATTCTGGATATTCCAAACGTTTCCCTCCTCATGTACGCGTCCTTTCCAAAATGGTGTCTGGTGGAGAGAATTCAGGACACCGTCGGGTCGAGATTTCAGCTTGCCAAGGAAAGCCAGCTTGTCGTCCTTTCTTGTCTTGCTCCACAAGTCGGCACTTCCTTCCAAAAGAGCGGTGTACCCAGGCGGGACCCATCGAGCCACTACGTCGCTGCCCACACTCAGCGAATCCAAGACAAGTCCATCCTTCGAAAACTGTGCAAGGTTGGCTCTCGAATAATCCCACACTTCCCTAGCCTTGCACCCACACATGAACTGCGCCACGAACCTCACATCGGGCTTATTATCGGGCTTCTTCGACCTGACTCCTGTGAACGGCTCGGTTTGGTAAGCCACGACGAACACACCCAGGTCTGCCAACTCTTTCATGCCCATGCAGGATGTCCACTGGTACGTCGTGACGACGACCATCGCCCTCCTCGCACGGTTCTGGGCGACGGGTCTGACCTCCGTGGAGTGCCACGCTCTGTCCTCGCCGAACTTCTCGACCACAGTGGCCCCAGCCGCCTCGAGCGAGGACCTCAGCGAAAAGAACAGCGGCCTGAACATCGTAATCTTCGCAGGAGAGATGGTGGCGACCTCAGTGGCTTGCCAGAGCCACACTGTCGTGGAGGCCATCGTTCGCTCGTGCGGCCGATGCTGCGAGGCAAGGTCCAGCCGTTGGGTCGCGCCACCGCTGGCGGACGAGGCCCCCTCTGGCAGCGGAGGCTCTTGGGCTCGCGGCCAAGGTGCGCCAGCGTTGCCTGCCGTGTCGATCGTCGCCCGTCCCCGATCTGCTCGCACTACCCAGAGGGCATTGCCATCCCCAAAGGGTTGTGTTCCAATGATGCAGGCCGCAGTGGTCAGCCCGATGGCGAAGAATACCACGCAACTCCATGGCACAAAGCTCACCAGTGCTGACATCCATCCCTCAATTCGCATGGTCCTGAGCCAAAATGGCTACGGATGACCTTCGGGGCGCGACTTGACGGGGGACGCGGGGTGGCCAACCCCGGGCGCGCAAGCCGCTGCTATCGCTTCGCGCTCAGCGATCGGGGGGACCTCATTGTGCACAATCGCGTTCCACCACTCGCAAAGTGACTTCTCGAAAGTGGCCTGGATCCGCCACGAGGGACTTACGATCCATATACACGCAGAGAAAGAGAGAGAGAGAGAGAGGGACCTGTTTTTTGTTTTTTCCTGACGTTTGCGAATCGGCATTTTGCGAATCATGAAACGCGTTCGGTGACAATAAACCCGCACCAGCGGTCACTCCGGCGAACGGTCCCCCGTCGAGCCCGGGCCAGCCCAGGGCCACGACGCCGACCCAGACCGGCCACGAAGCAGCTCACAGCTCCCGGGGCCGGCGGAGGGCCCAGGACGGGACGGGGGGCCCGACGAGCTCCACGCGCCGCCCCACCTCGGAGTGCGCCCCGTGCACGTGTCGGTGTCGTGCGCGTCTTTTTGGGCAGGGGTGGGGGGGCTCGATGATCCAGGATGCTCCTCGAGGGCCTTCGCAGAAGAAAAACCCACGCGCTCGAGCGATGCCAAGTCGTCGCGGGTGCAACTCTGAGGTCCCTGACCCGCGGCCTCCACCTCCAGCGGCCGCCCTGCTTTTGTGTGCCGCGGCGCCGTGGCACCACGCCGCCCGCGGTCGGAGACAACCGGAAGGCGCTGCGGGGCCGAATTCGCACCGGGGAGCGGGGAGACTCGCGGGCGGCGGGAGAAGAAGCCGCGGGCGGCGGAGCACGCGGCAAAGCACGTTCTCTGAGCACGTGATTGCTGCGCACGTGCGTGCCAGAGCACAGGGCCTCTGCTGGGCGGGAAGGGGCCGTCGACAGCGGCCATGGACATAAACTGAAAGCGCTGATCCCAGGGATCCAAGACACTAAGGTCCCCAAAGATCCAGCGCATTGAACAAAAAATCAAGGCGTAAGTTTTTCGCAAAAAATCAAGGCGGAGGTTTTTCGCCCCCGGCAGCAGTGGGCAACAGAAGTGTATAGAATGGTCTGATTTCCATCATTTGTCATTGCATGCAGGTCCTCCCCCTCTCCCCCTCCTCCTCCTCCTCCTCCTCATCCTCCTCCTCCTCCTCCTCCCCTCCTCCTCCTCCTCCTCTCGGGCTGTTTAGTCCAATCCGCACTGGCGCCGATTGTCTGTCGCAGCGAATCACGGCAGGAACCATGAGTGTCCTTGCCAGCCCACGCGTCCTTCAGGATGCATGGCCTTCTTGCTTGCTTGCTTGGGGCCATCGCCTGGCCTCGGGACCGTCAACAGTGACTCAGGATGAAAAACTAGTCCTGGGAAATGGGTCAAGACTTCCGGGGGCCGCGTATGGAAAAAAACACGACATCGGATCTCTGGGTCTGCGGGAACGAGTCAGAAACAGAGAACGGGCGAGGAAAACAAAAAACGACGGCCCAGGGCAGTGAAAGATTTCCACACGCCCGAACCACCAAACGACCAGGTTCAAGCTCAACCCGAGCGGCGCATCCCGCGCCGCCCCTGGCGCGCTCCACGCGCCGGGGAAGGGGGTCCAGCGCGGATCCGAAAAATCCGCGCGGACCTCCGAGTTTTTATGTTTATGCCATGTTTCGTTCGAGATCGTCGAAGCTCCTGTCGTCCTGCTCCACGGCGCAGCAGCCGGGCCGGGCAGGGCCACACAGCGCCATGGGGCCGCGAGGCAGCCAACAAAAACTCCGGGAAGGCCAGCGCGAAACCGCGCCGTCGGCGGCCATACACAAAAAATTGGGGATCGTCTGACCCGGGTCAACCCAGACCCTGGTCAGTCAGGCCTTGCAGAATCCTGCGAGATCCTGCAAGATCCTGCACCCACACCTGGATCACTGCGAAGAATCCTGGGAAATCCTGCAGGATCCTGCACCCAAGCCCGGGTCAATGCGACCCTGGCCTTGCAGGATCCTGCAAGATCCGGCGCTCTGACTGACCCCCGTTTGCACTGACCCCCGTCTCTTGAGCCCCGAAAGAGGACGCCATGGGGGCGCCCAGCGTCAGCTCAGGGATAACCCAGCGCTGGCCCCCAAGATTCGACGGCGAGGACACGAGCCAGAGGGGACCAGAACAAGACCCTGCGATCCGACGCTGCGAAAATGATACAGCATCGCAGAGAATCGTGACCAGAGCGCTAAAGCCCAACGACTTTTTCGTGCCCGATCGATCGGCGACTGCCCCAGGCCCCGAATGAAGTGGAAAACGCCCGGCCCGAACAACAATGTGACGCCAGGATCTCCGGGGAAGAGGCCAGTGTTGGAGGCGGCCGGGGGGTCTGAACTCAGGAAATCGGTCCAGCGGGGGGATGAAGCCAAAACCGCTCAAGATCGGTCCCCCAAGTCCGGAGCCCGACATCGGCTCCCGGAGACCGAAGAACGGAGCACGCAGACCTTCCCGAACCCGGAGCCTCGAACATGCCCGCCCTTCCTGCTGGCTGGAACCATTGCTGTCGGTGGTTCAAAGATGGAGTCCTGAAGGATGGGGTCCTAAGGATAGGAAGGGATCCAAGGGTGAATGTACACTGTTTGAGGCACCTCGCCTTCAGGACCCCATCCCTCAGGTCACCATCTATGAACCACCGATGCTGGGCCACTTCGGACCCCCAGACGGCTCCGACGCCAGGGCGGACTGGCGGACCCGCGCCAGTCAGCGCCCCAGGACTCCACTAACGGGCACTTGGGCCAGTGCCCCTCCCCGATTAGAGGCCTTCTAGATGGGGTCGGAATAGAGGGGGTCGGAGGATCGCGCCGCAACGCCGATACATCGGCGATGCATCGGCGATGCATTTGTGATGCATCGGCGATGCATCGTCGAGGCATCGTCGACGTCGACGATGCATCGGCGACGACGACGTGGAGCAAAACAAAGCTGCACATCGAGCCGCATCGGAAATACATCGGCGATGCAGCGCGATCCTCCGACCCCAACTACTCCGACCCCATCCAGGAGACCTAGACCGATGTGGGCAACGCTGAAATGCCAGAAAGAGGCCCGAAAGTGGCAACTTTCGGCAAATCTCCAACATACCCGTTAGCGCGTACCCGTCACGGTGCCGCTGAGCCACCCGTGCCCCAGCGAGGCCCGCGGCGCAGGCTCTCTGCGCCCCCGGCGGGGCCCCCAGCGCGGCGGCGGGCACGACAGCAGCGGCCCGGCCTGTCCATACCGCCGCGCTTGTCGGTGGCGCCCAGGCTCGGCACCCCAGGATCCGGGGGCTGGCCGCCTCGTCGTTGCCGGCGCGCGGGTGGAAGGGGGGAGTGATGAGATTAGCCATAGAAACACCCCGAATCCTTTGGGAGGGGACCTGACTTTGGAGAGGGCCAAAAACATCAGGGATAGGGTCTCGTTTCTGCAGATGTATCGAATCAAACAGCCCAGATCTACTCTTCCAGATGCAAAGACGGGGACCTCAGTGAGGCCACGTCTCGCCTGCGTTCTTAAGGCTAGGGTTTCTTTGATTCTCGATGAGGGAGGTGGCCTTCTGAGTGAGATGGACGTGCCATCCTTACTCCTGGTAGCGACCGTGGAACACGCAAAAAAAGTGAGGCGCTGCGATCGCCATTTTATGCGCGCGAGCACCAGCATGTGGGGGATGGTCCAGCCCCTCCCCTAACTTACGATCGTCACAATTACCCGGAGGGAGGGCTGGCCCGGGCAACGACCGTCACGCGACGACAGAGTGACTCTGAACAGCAATATCTGGGCGAAGGACCCAACAACATGCAGCCGCGAGTATCGCAAGGCAGGTGGGAAGCAGGAGAGACCCAGCAGAAGGACTGGGGCGCAGAGGAGGAGGCGGAGGAGGAGGCGGAGGAGGAGGAGGAAGAGGAGGAGGAGGAGGAGGCGGGCGCTCGGTGGGCCCTTTTTTTTGGCGCCCGCAAGATGCAAGCCTGTCGCCCACAAAGATTTCCAGCGACGCGAGCGGAACGCCCGCGGCACGGGACAGAAGCACTCACTGTGGCCTCTGGTGCAGCTCTCTGTGGGGCCAGGAAGCGTTTAAGAGGTGTGCCGAACTGGGCGGGGGACGCAGGCGGACTGCGCCATTGAGCCCTTCGATGGAGCTCCCTATGGGGCCACGAAAAGTGTGAGGGGTGTGCCAAAATGGGCGGAGGCGGGCGCATGCGGATTGTGCCAGCGGAACCTTCGGTGAAGCTCTCTGTGGGGCCACGAAGCGTGTGAGGTGTGTGTGTGTGTGCCGAAATTGGCGGGTGGGCATGCACACTGTGCAAGCGGGACCTCCCATGGAGATGCCTACGGGGCCACGAAACGTGTTAGCGTCTGTGTGCCAAAATGGGCGGGGGGACGCGTGCGGACTGCGCCACTGGGACCCTCGGTGGAACCCCCTTGGGGCCAGGAAGCGTGCGAGGGGTGCCGAAATGGGCGGGGGGGCACGCGTGTGGACACTGTCACTGGGGCCTTCGGTGGAGCTCCGTATGGTGCCATGAAAAGTGTGAGGGGTGCGCCGACATGGCCATGCAAAGGGGTAGAGGGAGGAGGCAGGAATGGGAGGAGGAGGGGAGGAAGGTGAGGTGGAGCGCGGCGCTGCGGATTCAGAACGAGGACCCAGCACCACAGGATGGTTGGGAACAATTTCGAGAAGGCAGCGGAAATGGAGGGATGGGGGGGGCCTTGCGCGCAATGCAGCAATTGACGATCTCAAGCGTGCGATCATGTATGATGTCGTCTTTTGCAAGTTCGGGATGTGATCTCTCGCCAGCCTCGCTGGCTCGTCAGACGGGCCTGGGCAAAATTAGCCGTGCAGCCAGGACCAGCCCGCCCTCTTGCCAGCACGCGCGCAGGAGCGCAAAGGAGAGTGGAGTGGAAATTGCGGGACTTCCTATAGGCAGGGGCCCGCAGGCCCCGGCAGTGCTGTGGTCCCCGCGGGATCTCCGGGGATCGCCAGAGGCCTCCGGAGGCCTAACAAACACTCGATCCCTGAGACCCAACGGCGCGAAACATGCGCCATGGTGATCAATCGCGACCAGAGCCCCAGACCCCAGTCTTCCTGCGCCATCTCTCGAGCCGGCTCGACCTGTGAGGGTCCAAGAGTCCGAGACCGGGCGAAAGCGCCAGGTGTGAAACATTGCGACGCCCAGATCACGGGGATGACTCGATGTCCAGACGACTCTTCAAAGGCGAGGAAGGCGTCTGAGCAGCCAACCGCCCTCTCACAGAGGAGGGACAACTGCTGGACCTTTCGGAGCTCCACGCGGATTTCTTGGATCGGCGCTGGACCCCCCTCCCTGGCGCGTGGAGCCGGCGGCGCCGCCAGGGGGGTCCAGCGCCGATCTAAGAAATCTTCCGCACCTTCCGTTTCCACGCGGAGGGTGCCGAAGGCGGAGACCCAGACGTCCGACGCATTGATCTCTTGAGCATGGGGTCCCCAAAAGTCCTGACCCTTTCCCCAGGGTATGTTTTTCATCCCGAGCCTTAGATCGGGCACGTCCTCGTACAGGCGGATTTGGGAGGACAAATGAACAATACTCCAACAAAAAATCAAAAATAATAGAACAAATCATCCCCAGATGATGTTTCAACTATTTTTTGAGTTCTCCTCCTGTAGAAGGACGTGCCCGACTTACCCCGAGCCGTGTTTTGACGGCCCCTGGGCCTGGCTAGAGCCCCCGCAGGGCCGAGAACGGCCAGAAGCCTCCCGGCGCTTGCTGTCCACGACGCGATGCCTGGAGACCGCGGGTCCGCCCTGGGGCGGCGCGTGGGGGGCCATCTCCGAGGGCGGCGGGGCTTCTCAGAGCCCCCCTGGCCTTCTGAGAAGCCTTCTGGGGTTGCGAAGAAGGCTGCTCCGCGAGTTTCTTAATAAGCGTCGGCGGGGGCGTCGCCCCCGCCGACAGCCCCACATCGACCCGCGTCGCGGGCAGCCACCGCGCGCCGAAGGCGCTCCGACCCCCGTCACGGCGCGACGACGAGGCGAGGTTGATCCCCGTCGGGGGGGTAACCCCCCACGCTTATTAAGAAACCCAGAGTAAGAACTCTTCTCCGGAGGCCAGCAGCTTTCTGAGCCTTCTGAAGAGGCCTGCTCCCTCTGCCTTCCCCCTGGCCGCGCCGCCGAGCATGTCTGGAGATCGAGGGCCCGCTCTCCTCCTCCCTGCTCCTCCTCCTCCTGCTGCTCCAGCTCCTCCTCCGCCATTTCTTCCCTGTTGTTGAGAGGGCAGCGACTGTAGCAGTCATCCTGTTGTGCTGAGACGGCGTCTCGAACCATTACATACCCAGTGAGGTCTCCACTGCTGGGTTTGAGCCCTGGGGGAGATGGCTCAGTCTCATGAGTTTGACAACGCCAGAGTCATAGTACAGTCGGACCTAGGCCAGAATCACATCCCTGAATAACACGATATCCTCCGTCGGCCAAAACGCACCGAACATCCAAGGGTACCCTCCCCAGGATGCACAAGAACATCCAACAAACACAAAGACCACTAGGGAACCCTCCCCGAACCGACCTCGATTTTATGCCTCGGTCCGACTGTAGCTCGTAGTGCGCCCAGCTGTCGCCAGTTGCGTCGAGGAGCTGTCAGAGACCATGAGCTGCTCCGCCGCCGCCTACTCCTCTCGGCGGCAAGCGAGGGGGGAAGTAAGAACTAGGAGGCCTTCTCGGAAGGCGGCGAGGCTTCTTAGAAGCCCTCAGGCCTTCTGAGAGGTCTTCATTGGCTCAGAAGGCCGGGGGACTTCCGAGCCTTCTGACGAGGCCGGCCCCTTCTCACTTAGAACAACAAAAAGCCATAAACATAAACTTTTGGCGCTCCGCGCGGATTTCTTGGATCTGCGCTGGACCACCCCATTCCTGGCGCGCGGAGCGCGCCAGGGGCGGTGCTGGAGGCTCCGCAGGGCGGGGGGCAGCGCGGATCCAAGAAATCCGCGCGGAGCGCCGAACGATTATGTTTATGGCGCTTCTCCTTCTTCGATCACTTCGCCCCAAGGGCTCGCCGCCGATCCTCCTCCTCCTCAGCGGAGACCAGTGATCCGCCCCAGTCCCGTCTGCGCGCCGCTGGCCTCCACTGTCCCACGCCGGTGCGCTCGGGCCAATGGTGTCTGGCGGCGTGTCGGGCTCCGCACCCGGGCCTCGGCTGTCAGGGCAGGAGGAGGGAGGGGGAGGAGGAGGAGGAGAGAGGGGGAGGAGGAGGAGGAGGAGGAGGAGGAGGAGGAGGAGGAGGAGGAGGAGGAGGAGGAGGAGGAGGAGGAGGAGAGAGGAGGAGGAGGAAGAGAGGAGAGAGGGGGGGGGGGAGGAGGAGGAGGAAGGAGGAGGAGGAGGTGGAGGAGGAGGGGAGGAGGAGGAGCAGCAGCAGGAGGGGAGGAGGCGGAGGCGGAGGAGGAGGCGGAGGCGGAGGAGGAGGAGGAGGAGGAGATCCTCCTCCTCCGCCTCCTCCTGCTTCTTTTCCTCCCCCCTCTTCCTCCGAAAGAGGTCCCTCATGTGCACAGCACCGAGCCCTCCTCCTGCTCTTCCTCCTCCCTCCTCCTCCTCCTCTAACGATGCCGTTCTGCTCCTCGGCCGCGCGCCGCTGCGAGGTTAGGCTGTACATGTTCGGGATGTACACTCACTACCTAGCAGCGGATGTCGCCTACACTTTCTATACACTCTTTCAAGTGCCTGTTTGGGTCTTACTCTCGCATGGAGGACATTGCAGCAAAGGCTCCCCAATGTCGGCATGATCGGGCTGCAGGGCACAGGATCTAAAAGAAATCGTGAATGAGTCTTATCGAACAAATAGAATATTAGATCGCACTGTGACTGCTGCGGGTTGGAAGTCGACAAATGTATGTAAGAAGAGCGCGGGATACTCCTTCCTGCTGCCTCCTCGCTGGCCACAGACATGTTTCCGAAGAGTCGGTAAGCCGTCCGCCATACTTCAAAGACGAGGATTGGGAGTACATTGCCGATTTCATGACACCTCGTTTATGACATGACAATGTCTATCCACCGAAGCCGTCGGACCGAAAGGCCATACCCAACTATCCCTAATGTTACGAGACACTGCGTAGGTGGGCTTTCCAGATGATTGGAAAACACAGCTGTCTGTGGTAGTCTACGTCATGCCTGATGTGAACGATGGCATGGGACTCAGCAAACAGGAGGGCAATTGGAAAAACGTGGGCGAGTCAGCTATCGAAATTGGTGCCACTCAGGATCGACATCTCTGGGGAACAGGACATGAGCTGAGAGAGTTGATGGAAAAGGATGGCCTGCCCTCCTCTACATCACAACGGAAAGTG